GCAAGCTGCTTTTCCTGTTCTACGTCTGACAAATTCCTGAACCTTCAGGTTGCATCTGAATGTCACTTTATTGTGATGCCATTTTTCTTTCATCCTGCATTTTCTCCTGTAGCCCATGGCAGTTGTAATTATTCATACATTTATGTTTTAGAGGTTTTTCACAAAAAAAAAGTCAGTGTATTCTCTTTACCTGATCTGCAGGAGGGTTGAGGTCTTGGGTCTGTTGGTTATGGTACTTAGCACAGTACCTGGTATGTGGTAGTACTCATACATTATCTAATGAATGAGGGATTTATTGGAGAGAAGGGAGTAATTGTGGCTCATTACTCTAGAGACTGCTAGACTCAAGCATTGGAAACAGAGGGGATTGTAATGGCACATTGTGCTTAAGATTATGAAATAGAGCTGAAGTGAATGTACAGGTAAGGCATTGAATCTCACCTTGCATGTTAGCAGTGATTCACAAAGAAATAATACCTCACTCATAAGTAAAGGACCAGAAAGAAAAAAGAACTTCCTAAGATATTTTAAACTTTGTGCTGAATTTATCTGTTGGCTAAGTTTCAAAACTGTTAATACAGAGACTTCAAATTACATTTGAGTAAAATAGAAAGCAATTTCTGCTTAATTTTTAAAATAATACAATGCTACATACTTTATTTATTAGAGAATTGTGAAGTCAACAGGCAAAAAGTAACTTGACCAGCTTGTATTATGACATTGTATTATGATCTCTAATTTAAATGAAAAATGTTGCTATAGTTCCTTAATATTTTAATCACTGGAGACCTATTAAATCTATTTACTTCCAATGAGGGAGCTTAAATAGTCACTGATTTCATCAGTGAAGAGACAAAAAGGCACCAGATACTAGACCAAAACAAACATCTTACTTATAATTGTGTGCCTTATTCGACCACTTAATGAGAGATGTAGTTTGACTTCTCCAAATAAAAAAAGGATTCCATTTTTACGTGTATTGCAGGTGCCTGAAGGTCCTAAAATACATGGTTTTTAAGAGACCCTTGAGCCCAGAAAGCAGGTCCTTTTCTGTAACAGAACTTGAGACAGTCTGGAGAAGGACCTGCCTTCCTCTAGTCAGCTCTTCCCTGTAACTCATCCCTTTGTGGTAGAACTGGAATGAAGATGGCATACAAAATGCATGTACATCAGATCATTGGCAATGTTTAGCATTAGATGGAATGAAGAAGAGACTACATATATTTCTTTTGTTATTTTTAAAAAAATCATTAGTTTAAGCATTCTGCTTAGCTTTTGACTTTCTCAACTTAGTTTGTGTAATTAACTGTATTTAAAAGTGGTTTTTAGTGACTGGCATAGTGAGTTAAGTTACCACCTGCAATGGAGGGGTATCTTGTGTGGATGCCAGTTTGAGTCTTGCCTGCTCTCCTTCCTGTCAAGCTCCCTGCTAATCAGCCTGGGAAAGTGACCGAAGGCCCCAAGCAAGTGCTTGGGCCCCTGTACCCATGTAGAAGACCCGGATGAGTCTCCTGGCTGTTTATGACTTTGGCATGGCTCACTCAGGGTGTTTTGACCCATTTGAGGGAGAAAATCGATGGATGGAAGATTTCTGTCTCTCCATTTTTCTAACTCAAATCAATCAATCGGTCTTTCTGAAAATGATTTTAAAAAGTATTTTCATTTAATGAAAATTATTTTTTCTAACTATTTATTTATTTTTTTCCTTGAAAGGCAAAGTTACAGACAGAGGGAGATTCTCCATCTGCTGTCATTCCCCAAATGGCCACAATGGCTGGAACTGAGCCAATCTGAAGCCAGGAGCCTAGAGATTCAAACTTCTAGGTCTCCCACGTGGGTACAGATGCATCATCCACTGCTTAGATTCTTCATATTAAGAAAACCCTCCCAAACCAAAGGCTGAATTTGTTGGCCCATTTACTGCTCTAGGTTGCTGCTGTCCCTTAGTTTTTACCTGGGTGTTCTTTACTGGTACTAGTTTTTGTGATCATTGCTGCTCATTTTTCTATTTTATCTGGTGCTTTTAGTTATTTAAAACATTTTAGTGTAGGCACATATGAGCCATACTGTTGTGTTTTATACCCTTAAACTGAATACTAGATATATCCTGTCTAACACATGATTTCTGTCCAAGAATGGTGAGCTGTGCTTCTTTGTCATTTACTAGAATGTCTCCAACAAAGAGCTTCCTTGAAGTATAAGGTGCATGTTGTTTCATGAATTATTTTCAGACTAATTCTGGAATGTTTAGCCCAGGTTAGAATCATGATGGCTGTGACTATGTTGTAGAATTCTCTGCTGTGTTGACTGCCCATTTAGTTGTATTAGAGCAAATTTGAATGGAATTTTTTGTAAAGCATCTCAGACCGTTGAATACGTGACCCCCATTATCACCCTTTCCAGCGAATGCTGTATGGCTTCACAAGCATGTCCTTGTCAGGCACATATTTCTTTAAGGCCCTCCTGTGTCATCCTGGGACAACTTTGGTCCTTAACCGACTTGAAAGAATGATAGCAGAAACTAGACTTGAAGATATGTATGAGTTCTTGTTATGACTTCCACCAGGGTGGACATTTTGTGCAGTGGTGAAGCTGCTGCTCATGATGGCACATCCTGTATTGGAATGTCTGGTTTGAGTCCCAGCTGCTGTGCCTCCTGTCACGCTTGCTGTTGATGTATATCCTAGAAGGCAAAAGCTGATGCCACACATGTGGGAGACCCAGGTTAAACCCTCCATTCCTGGCTTCAGCTTGGCTCCCTTCTAACTGTTTGGGCATTTGGAGAGTGAACTAGCAAATAGAAAATCTCTGTCTTCCCTACCTTTCAAATACAATTGAAAAAAAAAAATCCTTCTTAGAAATCAGTTTTAGTGGTTTTACTAAAGCCTGCTTAACTTATCAGTTTTACTGAAATAAAATCTGAATTCTAAGTGAAATCAGAGATCTGAATGCATGGTTTATATCCATGCATACAATTGACCACCACATAGATTTTATTAAATTGCCCTTTGAGGTGATACCATTGACTCAGAAGTAGCAGTGAAACATCTCTCTTTTTAAGTTACGTATTTTCATTTAGTTTAAAAAGGGGAGGGAGGGAGACAAACCATGATCTTCTTTCTGCTAGTTCACTCTCCAAATGCTCACTTTGGCCAGGACTGATCCCAGATATTTGGGTCTTCCTTGCAGGTGGCAGGGACACAGGCCCGTAGGCCATCATCTGCTGCCTCTCACAGGGTGCATTAATTAGCAGAAAGTTGAATCGGAAGTAGAATAGGCAGGACTGGAGCCAGGCCACTCAACCATTTTGGAACAGGCGTGTCCTAGGTGGTGACTTCACAGCTGCACTGCATGCCTAGCCCTGAAGCCACCCCTGTGTGTTGACTTAGGAGGTGTTGGATGTGTCGTGTTCTTCAGGTGACTTGTCACCTTCCAGGGGACAGTGTCAGTTTGGAGTCTGGTTATGTTTTTGGTTTTCCTTTGGGTACCAGGAAAGTTAGCATCTTGAGGTCCTCCTTTGTCAAGTACATGTGATTTCAAGGGCTGTGTTCTATTTACTGATCTTACTGAAGTTCCAACTTCTTTCCTACTTTTAATTTTCTTTTAACTATGTTTCTTCTGTCATATGAAGTGTGTATTTTAAAAACCATCCTGAGTTTTTCCTGGAACATTATGGGTATATGTTAAATAAATTGGTTATCGTTTTATATCATGTAAGTTAATGAATAACCATGCTTTAGAAATGAAATTATATAACCTCATGTTTACTTTTGCTTATATAAACACTATCAAGAAGATTTGATTTTGGTATAATTCATTGTTTTGATCTGAACAAGCAAATATATGAAAATAGAGCCTACTTTTAGGGTTTCTGAGAAAGCCTACTGCTTGTTCCCTCATTTGTTTAAACAGGCAAATGTGCAAAAGTAAATCATCCTCCCTAAATATTCTAGGGCTTTTAGTAATCTTCTAAATGAGCTAATTCATTCATTGTCTCTCAGGTACCCACACAGTGGGTTATCCATAGCAACAATCCTTTTCAACAGTTAATAGGGCCAACTCTGTATTTATTAAGAAAAGAATACCACCAGGTTAAACAAACTGTGACTGTTGATTCTGTGTATTTACTCTATTTCAAAGGGATCTGCCAAACCTTCAGTGTGTTCCATGTTGTACATCATTAGAGAAGCTAAATTAGAATGTGATTTCTATGGTTCTGAATATGTCATTTTTATAGCCAAGTAAAAATGATGATGAACAAATAAAGCTTTAAAAATAAAGTACTATTTTGTGTATTGAAAATGAGGCCAAATTCTCTGCACAGTAAAATCAGAGCTGTTTTATGGTAAATATTACCACTCCCAGTCCGTGGAAGAGGAGTAGAATACATAATACTGGCCCAGGAAACACATTCCTGAATTTCTTGATTCTACAAATTACATTGATGAAGAATTTAATAAGTTAGTACAAGACAAAAAAAAGAGAGAGCTTTAGAATTAAAGAGGTTTTCATAAGAAGTTGAATGTCTGTTGAAATGTAAATTGAATCTAAAATCTTTTCAAGTCAGTTGTTGAGAAATGAAGTAGTGTTTAAAAACCAAATGCTAGGGTTCATCTAATCCAGTATTCTTGTGTTACAGTCGTGAATGCTTTTAGAAACTGCTGCAGAGGCACAGGGTTTCTGATTTCAAATGTCCTTGTGCAGTATGAAATGTTTTTTAAACTGATGCTCATTAAGCTTCTAACAAGTGATATACCAATGGGAACACAATGATATTTTATGTGGCTAGATTGCTTAATAATTTTTTCTTGCTTTTTGATATGGTGGAATGGAAAGTTTTTTCTTACTAGATCATTAGTACTGGAGCTCTACATTTATAAATTGATTGAGCCTGTTTTGATAAAAAATCTTTGCTAAGTTGAATCTCTGATTTTTATTAGTGCAAGGGTTTGGGGGCATTTCTTGTACCTATGCTATTTCATTTTGTTTTATCTTTACAGATTCTGGAACTTTTCAAGACCTGATCCTCTTCTTGAAACAGTGGAGCATCATACAGAATTCACCTGTGGTTTAGATTTCAGTCTTCAGAGCCCCACTCAGGTAATGGGTGCCATCTCATGATGTGCTTTGCTGCTCATGTGGTTCCCAACTAGGTCTCTGTACAGCATGTATTGATGAACAAACATGGATGTTCCATTTATGGTGGAACTAAGTGCATTCAAGTAACCTGATCTTTTGTATATAAATTTCATCATTAGAGCCCTGGGTTTGGCCTAATAGATTGAAGGTTATGAGTGTGTCTCTTAGTAGAGAGAAGCATGAGAGAGAGAGAGAGAGAGGGATGGAATGGGAAAGAAATTTCCCTGAGGTGGAGGAGAGTGTACCAGACTCAACTCGCCCCTATAGAGCAAGAGGACCATAGTGCATCTTTTCCTCAGGCTTGGTCTGTGCAACCCAGGGAAAGCTAAGGAGCTCAGATGAAGAGCAGTTATTGTAATGAGCAAACTCTGTATTTCTCCTCTTTTGTTTTCTTGAGGATTTGTGAGTAAATCTCTTGTACTTTAAATATTCTTCAGGGTTTTTAAAAAGCTATTGCTATTTCATTTTTAGAAATTAAAGATTCAGAGTAGAAACATTGCAATATATTAAGTGATGAAGTACTTTATAATTTGTAACATAGACTGAAAAAAAGTGAACGTATCAATGAAACTCAAAATCATACATGGAACTTGTGTGTCTAAGGAATAATACTTTACGGTAAGTTTTTAGATGTTAAACAAAAAAAGAAAATCTCATTTCATATAACTGTGTATTAAATTTAAATAAATACATAGAGTTCATTTAAAGAAGATACATTTCTAGGCTTAAAATATTTTCCGTAGACAGTAGAATATGGTCCACATTAAAATAATTGTTTAAAAATGTCTTACTAGCCTGTAAGAAGAGATAAAATTGAAATCATTAGTGAAATAGCATTATCTTTAATGTAACGTGCTATATATGAACTAGTTTCTGTTTTCAGTAATATGTTTACCATGCATACTTTTTAATAGCCTATCTTCTATCCTACTTTAAAAGAAAAAGTTATGTGCTCATTGAAACATAGCAATACTAAAATAAGAATCATTAGTAACTATTCTTCAGGTGATCTGTGAGAGCCAGACAGATTGGGACCTGCAGCAGCACCTGCAGCTCCTCCACTTCTTGGGTATTGCAGAGCAGTGCCATATATTCCTTAAATCCTCCACGCATAGACCCACCCTTATTAAGAGGATTTATTAATTGATGATATACATCCTTAAATAATAAGATTTTATGGCCAGACTATGTATTTTGTGTGTAACCTGGTGATTACCATCTGTCTCTTCCAGTTAGTTGGATAAGCAAATTCCATTTGAACTAAGGAAGTGGTTGCTGTTAACAGCAAGTGGTAGTGGCAAAGTAGGAGACTTTGAGTTATAAGTAAGCGCAGGCTCAGCAGCATATTACACAATTCTACTATGTTAGAAATCAATTCTGAGTTCGTTTATTGTGGGACTCTGAGAACTGGAGTGACCTAAGAAATGAATTCTGCCTTCATTTGTTCTTTCAGCAAACATTTTCATTTTATTACTCAGCAGACCTTGTGCTCGGTAGTAGACATTGAACAATGAGTAAAAATAAATATGGCACTTGTCTTCATAAAGCATTTAGCTCGGCATCAGATTGTCTCACCAATGAATGTACACAGACAGCTGAAACAACCCCTACAGAGCAGATGGAACTTACATCAGGGTGGGCCTCTGACCTCTGTTTGGAAGGGAGGCTTGTGTAAAATCTGGTGTCAGTAGACAGATCCTCAGAGGCAGAGGTGCCAATAGGTCAGGGACTTTGCAATGAGAGACCTATGCTGTGGCGGGAAGGAGTGTGTGTCCTCTTGATCTCTTGTAGAGTACTCAGCATTAGAAATCTTAAAATTTATATTAATGGTTTCGTTATGTTTTTAAAAGTCAGTACTGAGGCTGTTCACTGAATTTTGTTTCTCCCTGCATTAGTTCAGGCCACCAACAAAACACTGGGGTTTAATTAGGTGGCATCAGCAGCTAAACTTTATTTTCTTAGTGTGCTGGAGCCAAAGTTCCAGATCAGGGTTTGACAAGGTTGGATTCCATGTGGGCTCTCCTGGCCACCTCCTCACTTGGTCTCCACATGGCAGAGAGAGAGGAAGAGATTACCTTTTATATGGGGGACTGTAATCCTGGCCCTCAGCCTTATGAGGCCATGTCACCCTCTGTGTCCTTGGGATTGACTCTGGAACACTGCTGCTGTGGATACCAAGGTGTGTGGATGCTTTGCCACTCTATGATGGCCTGAATAACCTATGCACATCCCCACCCGTGCACTTTAAAACATCTCTAGGTTATTGCTGACAGCTAGTGCAATGTCAGTACTGTGTAAATAGTTGTTGTGCCATATTGTTTATAGAATAATTACAAGAGAAGGCCTGTATGGATTCAGTTCCAACACAGTAAATTTTTTTTTCTGGATATTTTGGATTAGTGGTTGGATTCACAAATGTAGATCCTGAAGAGAAGAAGTCACCTTCTCAGAGTCCCTGTTTCCAAATATAGTCACCCATGGGGCTAGAGTTTCAACATATGAATCAGGGAGCACAGTTCAGTCCAGTATATTCCCTACTCTTTAGTGTTTGTCTATGAAGTTTTCACTACGTGTTACTGGTCATATAAATGAAATATTGAAGAATTTTTATTAACGTAGCTTTTACATTTATATTTAATGTATTTTAATCTATTGAAAGTATTATTACGTAGTGCCTGTTTCAATGCTGTTTTGACATGCATTGATTTGCTCTTTCATTCTGTCATATTTGTTGAGTACTACAGCTGGGCGGAACAGGTAATTACAGTAGTAGTGTGCAAAATGCTACAATAGAGGAACAAAGGATGCTTTGGGAAAATATCTATTAATTTAGTATGTGTTTGTCAAGTGCCTATTAGCTGCTGGGTATTAGTGTGTGGTAATAAGTGCTTTTCAGAACTGAAGCAATTTGATACAGAGTGCTGGGGAGGGTGTACGTTGTTTGAATGGTCTGCCAAAGGCTCTCGCATGAAATCTGAGCTGAAAACTGACTAATGAAATAGAGCCTGCCATTCAGAAACCTAGGGGAGGGATGTTTTCCGCAGAGGTAATGGCATATGTCAGATCTTTGAGACAGTAATGGGTTTGGTGTGATTAAGGGACAGAAGGAAGGCCAATATGATTGTAGCCTAGAGGGTGGGGGTTGGTGATAGAGAGTAGGCAGGGACCATATTTTGCAGGGTTTTGTAAACCTGTGTGGTGTTCATTGTGTTGGAGATTTAGCAGGAAAGTGGTAAGACCAGGCTGTGTATTTAGAAGATGATGCTGTGGTTGTAGGAGAACAGACGATAGGTAAGAGTGGAGGCTAAGAAACCCATTTTCAGTCTTTTGGTGTAAACCAGGCAAAGGAAAGTGGTTACTTGGAGTCCTAGATAGAAAGATTCAGAATATATGAGGATGCTTCAGAAAATTCATGGAATGATAGAATATAAACATAAAACATAGAGGGAGAGGTGGACATGAGCTGCAGTGGCTTAAGTCGCTGTTTTCAATGCCCATATCCCATATTGAAGTGTTTGGTTTGAGTCTCATTTACTTTACCTGCAGTGCAGCTTCCTGCTGATCTTGGGAGAAAGAAGATAAAGGCTCACATACTTGGGTCCCTGTCTTCCACGTGGGAGATCTGCAGGAGTTCTGGTCTCCCTGCTTTGGCCTGGTCTAGTCACAGCAGTTATTAACATTCTTTCTCTGTCTCTCTCTTTTTTAAAAAAAAAAGTGAAAACAAATGAAACTTGTTTAAAAAAATAATACAGAGGGCAGGTGTTTAGCCTAATGGTAGAGACACCAGTTAGGCTTATCAGAACACCTGGGTTTGGTTCCAGGTTCCAGCTTCACAGTAATGTGGGTGCCATGACGCGGCAGTGAGTTCTTATGGGAGACCCATGTTGAATTCTTAGTTCCCAACTTCAGCCTGGCCCAGCCTGACTGTTATGAGTTTTCGGAAGGTGAAGCAGCAGATGGGATCTCTATCAGTGTTCATCTCTCTCTCTCTTTTTTCTCTCTCTTTTTTATTGCCTTTCAAGTAAATAAATGTAAAAAAAAATATTTTAGGTGGACAAATTTTCCATGATTTTTTTCAAAGATGTGTAATGTAAATATTATATTATACGTAAATAGTCAAACCAGCCCATCTAAAAGACAGATATAAAATGATAAATATGTGAGAAGATACTAAAACTTTCATATGATTGAGCCTAACATTATTTAAAATTTTACTTATTATTATTATTATTATTATCATTTTATGATAAGTTCCATAGGCCCTGGGATTTCCCTTACTCCCTCCCCAATTTCCTTCCTCCTCACTGAGTTCCTCTGTATTATTACTGTAGTATAGTTCTTTATATACACTCACATGTCCATCATTGCAGTGGACAATGGCATAAAGTCCAGTATTCTATTGTCAGTATAGAGCACCGTTGTCTGTACAACCTTTCTCTCACTTCTGGTTGAATTAGGTCCCAGGATTAGGGAGACACCAGGTATCATATACAACTAGATTGTTGGTGGTGCTGATCTTGCTGGAATCTGTTGGCCATTAGGTCAGAGGGCCACATGAACCTATTTTGACCCATATGATGCTAAAGTCTGTGTTATTTTTTCCTGTGGGACTAATGCAATGCACTGAGCTCAGTGAGTTCACTCCCAGCTCAGCATATGCACTGTTGTCCCTGCAGTCTTTTTGTTTGTTTCTGTTTGTTTTTTCTCTTTTGCTTTCTTTTTTGTCCCTGCAGTCTTAAAGCCTTTGCCACACTGTACAGAATGGTGCTTGATATGCCAGTACTAGAGTTCTTGATCTGCTGGCCATCAGGTCTGAGGGCTACCGGGACCTATCTTGGGGGGAACATTAGGATGCCACGCTGTTGCAGTTCACTGAGCCAGAAATGAGTGGAACTCTCCCAGTCAGTGCATGCACAGTACTGTCCCATAGCCTTTGCCTCCTTAAACAAAATGGCACCTGA